GCCTGCGTCTCGTCCTGCGTCGCCTGTTTGTGCTGCCCGCACTAGTCGTCTTGCTCCGCGTCCGTGTCCTCCTGCGGTCCCAGGCACACACCAGATGGCACTGCGTCCGTCCATTGCTCCTCTGCGTGTCCCGTTGCCGTCTCCTCCAGAGTCCTCTCTTCCTGTTCTTGCTGACCCGGAGTCTGACTCTCTTCGTGCTGCCAGTCCTACTATCACGCGTCTCGTGACTACTGTTGTCACTGATCCTTCCTTTGAGTCCACTGCTGCGTCTGCCTTAGTTGCTGAGCTTGTCGACTTTGCTGCTCGCTGTCGTCTAGACTACGCTGCTAGTCTTGTTGCTGAGTCTGAGTCTTTCTGTCCTCCGTCCGTCGGGGGTGAGTGTGCTCTTAGCACGGACGTCCTTGAGGACAGGCAGGAGGAGTTCTAGTGTTTTGCTGCTGCTTTGCCTCATCTCGTGTCCACGCTGATTGCCCCTGAGGGAGACCCGGATGCACCAGACATCCCGACTCCTCGATCGTACGCTGAGGCGATCGAGGGTCCCTACTCCTCACAGTGGCAGTCTGCCATGGACACAGAGATGGCTTCCTGGAAGTCCACAGGCACCTACGTCAACGAGGTTCCCCCACCTGGGGCGAACATTCTCAGTGGCATGTGGATTTTGAGGGTGAAGCGGCCGCCGGGTTCTCTGCCTGTCTTCAAGGCGCGTTACGTGGCTCGAGGCTTCAGTCAGCGGCAGGGAGTTGACTACTTTAAGACCTTCTATCCCACCCTGAAGATGACCACTCTTCGGGTGGTGTTGCACATAGCCGCTCAGCGCGACTACGAGCTTCACTCTCTTGACTTCAGCACAGCTTTCTCGCAGGGCAGCCTGCACGAGGAGATCTGGCTGCGCCGCCCACCTGGCTTCAGTGGGTCGTTTCCTCCTGGTACCCAGTGGAGCCTCCGGCGGCTAGTCTACGGTCTCCGCCAGGCGCCCCGTGAGTGGCACGACACACTGAGGACTACACTTGCGGCTCTTCTACTGCCGACCCGTCGCTGTTTCTACGCACCGACACCTCTTTGCCGCCGCTCTAAATCCTCGTGTACGTCGACGACTTGGTCTTTGCCACTGCTGACACTGCTGGACTAGCCCACGTGAAGTCCGAGCTGCAGAAGAGACACACGTGCACAGACCTGCGTGAACTGCATCACAAAAACCCTATGCCAATGTGGACGAATTTTGATTTCGATTGTCTTCGCGTAAAAAAATCCGTAGCCAATTTGGACCGACGGTTGGAGTCATTTGATAGTGGCTCCGAGACACATCTTGGGACAACGTTTGGCTCGGTTCAAGTTCCAATTTGGCACGCGATCTTTTCCGGATGACATTCGGGCGCAATCCGTTTTGTTGCAAATTCGTGACCAAATTATTCAGAACTATATTATGTTTTTGTTCATTTTGGATATTGAGGATTTCAAAATTGCATTTATTATTGCGGTTTACAAGAACCATTTTTCAGCATTCTAGCAACAAGCAGTCTTAGCACCAGGTCAAATAGCCTAAGCACTGGCGGGCCTTGAAAGCGCCCGGTGGGCAAGGACGACATCTCCAAGGTCGCCGTCGTCGATGAGGAACTTGTTCGGAAAGACGAACGCACCCATAGCCGGATCGTGGGGGATCCTCCGCTCCACGACAGCAAAATGGATCATCTGTTTGACCTTTTCGCACCACTCCTGGTAGTCTGGCCTGTTCTGCTCCGGCTGGCTACTGATTCGCTTGCGACGCTTATCCTGCAGAAGGGGCCATTCGATCTGCAATGTGGTGTAGGGTTGGGTGGATGGTTTATGAGGAGGGTAGGTTACGGGTAAATGAGGCAACTGAAAGCGGTGATGCAGTCGTCACTATCTATGTAACTGCAAAGGCCTAATCGACCAGGGTTTTAGCTGAAGTACATGCAAGGGGTTAAGGGGATGAGGCATGGGGGTACAAACACATATCTACATCCTTACCGAAATCAGGCCCCATGCCACCATGCGGCTCTTGAACTTGGTGAACACCGCCCCGCTCCTCTTGAAGGAGAGTTTGAACGCATAAGCGAACAAGGGGTTGCTGAAGGGTGTCCCGGTGGCCTTGTCAAAGTGCCAGTTGAGGACCCACTGTTCTGCTTTTTGGCAGGGAGGGTATGGGTTGGAAAGGGTTTTGTAGAGAAATCAAATGGGGGGATGAGAGTCAGGGTGAGCCACATCGCACGGTGATATGTAGCTGCCAAGGGGCATATGGTAGGGCATATTGTGTTTTCGAGTCGCACTGCACATACCATCTCTGTACTCGGCTAGGAGTTGATCGTCGTCGAACCAGGTCGTTGGGTGTAGCTCAGTGGGCAGGCTATCCACCGGCTGTAATCGACAAGGCCCATGCCGGTGTATGTTGTTGGCCTGAGGGTGGAGTTGATCGTTGACCTTGTTGAGGACAGCTGGTGGTTGAAGACTCCCATGGTTGACTTGTCATTGTGCAACCACAGCAGCTTCATTGCCTCGAGCCCTTCTGCAGACAAGTGGACAGAGAACGCTTCGAACACTTCCTCCGGTGCAGGGTAGTACTGTATTTTCTCCGCCGGGTTTAGAAACATGAGCTGAGAGCACACTAAGTAGGCTTTGTTCTGCCCAGGGGTGTAAGGTATACAACACGACATGGAAGAGAGAAACAAGCAGTTATGAGAGTGGCCGCGTGACCATGGGATGGTGACTAGCAACACTGTTTGAAATTGTCACGTCACACCCTGCGCCATCAGACACGTCCACCAACAACCCGGCCCACTTGCCACGTCACACCCCCCTACCACAAGCCACGTCACCCCCCACCCACCTGACACGCCTCGCTTCGTCATGCGCAGTGGTCACGTGTACCATTTCTAACCGCCACGTCATCCCCAACCCTCACCTTCCGCCACGTCACACCCACCTGCATCCGCCACGTCATCCCTAGCCCTCACGTTCCGCCACGTCACACCCTCCTTGTCCGCCACGTCCACCAACCAGCCCCACGTGCCACGTCACACCCTCCTGCATCCGCCACGTCCACCAACAACCAGCCCCACGTGCCACGTCACACCCTCCCACCCCATGCCACGTCACCCCCCACCCACCTGATACGCGTCGCCTCGTCACGCGCCGCTCCCGTGTACCATTCCAAACCGCCACGTCAGCCCCAACCCTCACATTCTGCCACGTCACACCCTTTTGCATCCGCCAACAACCCGCCCTACTTGCCACGTCACACCCCCCACCAAGAGCCACGTCACCCCCCACCCACATGAGATGCCTCGCTTCGTCATGCGCCGCTCACGTGTACCTTTTTAGGGTGCCACGTCATCCCCAACCCTCACCTTCCGCCACATCACACCCATCTGCATTTGTCACGTCATCCCCCACCCTCACCTTCCGCCACGTCACACCCCTCTGCATCCGCCACGTCCACCAACCAGCCCCAAGTGCCACGTCACACCCACCCACCCCATGCCACGTCACCCCCCACCCACCTGATACGCGTCGCCTCGTCACGCGCCGCTCCCGTGTTCCCTTCGAAACCGCCACGTCAGCCCCAACCCCGCCCTTGTTGCCACGTCAACCCCAACCCTCCCCATGTGGCCCGCCACATACCGGGAATGGGTTTGTCTCCTGCAACACTAGCACTCGTGCCTTGTCCACGGCGCTCATCGGCGGCGGGGTACCAGCCATAGGCAGGGCTGCCGACCCGCCGGCATAGCTGGCAGGTACTCCACGACGCAGGCCGAGCTGTGCAAACATGGCGTACATCTCAGACCGCAGCGCCTGGAACTCCTCCCGTGTAACAAAATGCTCGTGCTCCGCACTTTCACCTAGGGCACCCATGAGCGGAGGAAAAGGGTGTGAAGAATCCCCCCTCTGGCCAAGGGGATCAACGTCTTCTGCAGCAGTCCCGTGTGCCCTCACACTATCACGCTGGCGGGAAAAGGGGAGCTCAGGGAAGGGATTGGCATAACTGCCTGCCTGATGCCCGCGCGAAGGATCGGCGAGAGGGGAGACCGCCCTGCCCCGGACACGAGAAGCGTGGAGTTGCCAAAATTGGTACGAGGGTGAGGCGAGTGGGGACTGCGTGACGGGGGTGGGTGGAGGGGATTCGGATTCTTCTCCTCTTGGCGCGCCTGGTGCCGTCGCAGCGACTATGCTCGGGCCGGCCCATGGCGTGTAGTACCTTGGTGCTCTGGAGGAGAGCGGTGTAACACTCGCTCTTCCGGCAGCCTTCGTTAGATGCATTCGTTGCACGCTTACGGGCGGCCCAATGCCTGTAACGCGAGGGGCTGAGATGTAGAGGGAGCCGGAAAAAAAAATTGAGTCGATCGGTTTCAAGGCGGGGCCAGACATGCATGCATATTCAGAAAGGTTTGAATCTAGATCGTGTTCCGGGTTGTACTGGTTTGAGACAAGAGGGTTTACCTTGCTTGGCAGATTTGTCGACCTTCTCCTTCCCTGCATGGGAGAAACAATGTGAAAAAAGGGTGTTTTTTGGCACGGTTTAGCAGATGGTTCGACATGTCACGCCAGTTTTATTGGACACAATGCTCACCTTTCTGCTGTCCCTTCGGTTTTGGGGCAGCCTGCCCCTTCTCGTTGCCACCTTTCTGCGGGGTGCTTTGGCGGACGCTGCGACGTTTACCGGCAGGTTCTTTCTTGCTGGTACCCACTGGAACCCCTTTGGCGCGGCCACCCTTTCCTCCTCCATCCCCTTTTGCTCCTTGGCTCCCTTGCTTTTTACCAACCCCTTCACTTTCGACCTTCACCTTACGCGCCTTCGGTTTGCCCGATGCTTCGCCGCACACAGCGTCAACTGCCCCGCGTTTTCGGGAAGGGCGAGTCCGGCCCCCCTCCTTCCCTGTACCACTCACCCGTCTGCCACGCCCGCCCCGTCCCTTCACTGGCGCCACATCCTCCTCCTCCTCCTCCTCCTCCTCCTCCTCCTCCTCCTCCTCCTCCTCCTCCTCCTACTCCGCTGCCTCCTCCTCCTCCTCCTCCTCCTCCTCCTCCTCCTCCTCCTCCTCCTCCTCCTCCTCCTCCTCCTCCTCCTCCACATCCTCCTCCTCGTCGTCACCCTGCTCCTCCTCCTCCTCCTCCTCCTCCTCCTCCTCCTCCTCCTCCTCCTCCTCCTCCTCCTCCTCCTCCTCTGCCTCCTCCTCCTCCTCCTCCTCCTCTGCCTCCTCCTCCTCCTCCTCCTCCTCCTCCTCCTCCTCATCCTCCTCCTCCTCCTCCTCCTCCTCCTCCTCCTCCTCCTCCTCCTCCTCCTCCTCTCGTCCTCCCCGCCATCATTCTCATCTTTTTCATCCTCCCCAACATCCGCGTCATCCTCCTCCGCTTCCTCTTCATCCTCCTCTCCCTCCGCATCCTCCTCCTCATCCTCCTCCTCCTCCGCATCACCGCGGTCTTCATCACCCCGTTTCGGCTTTGTTCCCGTCACTGCTTTCTTGCCTCTCCTTCCGCCGGATGCTTTTCTTGCTGCGGGTCGGCCCTTCTGGCGCAATGCTTGACCGCCCGCCTTGCCACTAGCTTCCTTGGCGCCTCGCGGTGTCCCAACTGCCGCGCCTCCGGCGTCGTCAGCACTACCTGTCGTCTGCCGCCTCTTCGCCCGCGTAATGAGGTCCCCGGGCACAGCGGTATCATAATCGTCCTCCCCATCGCTCTTCCTCTGCCTACGCCTCCCCCGTCCACCAGAAGGTGGAGAGCCACCGACCAGCCCCACTGACTCGTGCTCCCCCACCTTTTCCTTATCCAGCACGGCTGCAGAAACTTCGACCACGGTCGGCTGGAGCAGCGTCAGATGGTGTTGCGTTGCCGCCGCCTCGGACTCCTTGGTTGCGGCATGCTCGGCGCGGGGATCGCCTCCGTGATTTCCCTCCGTTGCCGATCCCTCCATCTCCGCCGACAGGAGTGCAAGACTCGCGCTCCCTCGCCCCGGATCTTCGTTGCCGCCAGTGGTGCCGTCTTTACTCGGACCGGGCTCGGTTCCAGCAGAGGCAGCATCCGCATCTTTGTTCACTGTAGAAACACGCTTGCGTGGCGTTGGTTTAGGGCCCTTGTCTTCCGCTTTCTTGCCGGCCTCCTGTTGACCGCGCGCGACCTTTTTTGCCGCCGCTTTCTTCTTCCCAATGCCACGAGCGACGGACGCATTAGTTTTTTTAGCGCCGCCACCACACTCCCTATCGATTTGTTTAGACGTCCTCCTTGTCGCGCGGCGGCCGGCCTGTTCCTCCTCCATTGCTTGGTTACGTGTTGCACGTGTCATGGTAATTGTAGGAGGAGCAAAGTTGCAAATCGCGCGGAAGGGTTGAGCCGGTTTCGAAAGGGTTCTCCAACTGAATCCCACGATGGGATTATCGACGGTCTATCACTGTAAGGGGTTTCGAAAACCGCCGCTTCAACTAAATCTGTCATAGTAGCCACTATGCTTCGCGCTAAAGTGTGTCAAGGCAACGAGCAGCGTCAAAGTGTTGGTCCAGGGAGTGACGGAAGCAGGTGGGTGGGACACGAGGGTGGTTGGGGTGGGTTGCGAGACTAGAGAGAGTAATGTAACCCTATCAGGCTATATTGGACGGTGTACGTATAGCCTCCCTAGCATAAACCCACCTACCGCTCGATCTCAGCCGCTCAATGGCTGAAGTACCTCTTGGCTGATGACTGTGTTGCGGGGGGAATCGTTTGAGATGCGTCGGCCAATCACGGTTGCCAACGCATAAATCACTAAATTTTATTCAAACATACAAGAATGCATTTCATCAAACTCTAAGTTGCAAATGGTTTACCACGGGGTTGGGGTAAGTTAATCGGTGATTCTTACGTCACACACACAACGACCGTCCAGAATTATTACTTGTGACAAATGTACTGTGCACTTTTAGGCTTTGCCACAATGGTTTAGGGCCAGCGGACGACATTCTAACACGATTATCAATAGTAACAAACGTGAATCCGTTGTGGTATGGTGTTGGATTGGCATCCATTCTTGCACAGACATTAAACAAGGTGCTTAGAAGGAGTTGTATGAAGCACAGGCCCAACGCACAAGCGTAGATGCGTTATCGACAGCCATGGTTAGACTGTGCGACGATGCAGCGTTCAGGCCTGCGGGTTGCGCGACATGGTGAATCCGTTGTGGTATGGTGTTGCATTGGCATCCATTCTTGCACAGACATTAAACAAGGTGCTTAGAAGGAGTTGTATGAAGCACAGGCCCAACGCACAAGCGTAGATGCGTTATCGACAGCCATGGTTAGACTGTGCGACGATGCAGCGTTCAGGCCTGCGGGTTGCGCGACATGGTGAATCCGTTGTGGTATGGTGTTGCATTGGCATCCATTCTTGCACAGACATTAAACAAGGTGCTTAGAAGGAGTTGTATGAAGCACAGGCCCAACGCACAAGCGTAGATGCGTTATCGACAGCCATGGTTAGACTGTGCGACGATGCAGCGTTCAGGCCTGCGGGTTGCGCGACATGGTGAATCCGTTGTGGTATGGTGTTGCATTGTCATCCAACATTGCATGGACATTGAAACCGTTGTGTTATTGTACGACATTGTCATCCATTCTTGCATATTCATTCAGCACGGTGCGTAGAGGTACACTACACCTCGAGAGAAGACACGCTATAGGCATTCGCTCCACGCAATAAACATACGTTAGGGCATGGAGTTATTGGGTACTTCCCGTATCGTTATCAAGTAAGGGTTGTTCAACATCAGTCCTAAGGATATGAATGTTTACTAGTTATGAATGACTTGAGTGTCTTGTTAAGTTGTAATTGTACATTTGCATTTCCATGTTTGTTTGAAGCCTCTGGAGCTCACCTACGTGATTCTGATTTCCCCCCTATATCGATTCGCGACACAATCACAGATCCAAACGGATCTCTTCCCGCTCTTCCTCATCCCCCTCGACTCTCACGCACGGTTCCTAAACACAAGTTCTTGATTCAATAGGCACGTCCTTCTCACCGTGCTCACGACGCACACACACGACCGTGAGACTTAAGATCCTCCGCATTCTCCTCTGCTCACGTCGTGGTCACTCTAAACAGGGGCGACACGCCTTGTAGGGAAGACGGCCCGTGAGGTGGGCGGTCTGTATCGTGCCTGGTAACGACCACGCGGCTCGACATCGTTAGCCAGTCATAAACATTAGCGCCAATGTCAAGTGCCAGTCGTGCAATGATACAAGCCGCCCACCACAGTGCGCGCATTGGCGATGATCGTGTAGCTGTCACAGGCTTCTTGAACGCAGTACTTAATGCGTTCACAAGCTTCATCACGGCTAGTAGCTTCATAGGCGATTTCTCAACTCTACAACGGATCCGTAACACATGGGCTCTTTACCAGGCGTCGTCTGCAAGTTCTGCAACAGATGGTTCCCCAACTCCCAAGTTTATGGCGGTCATAAGTCACGGCGGACCCCTTGCCAAGGACTATCCGCCATGGCAAGGCCGACGCGATCTGCACCGACCGCCGATCTTCACGCTCTGCTATTCGTCCACGACATTCTGTCGGACGCTCCAGCCGCTCCCGGTTCACCTACAGCGTCTAACGCATCCAACGCCGTCAGTGTGAGCGGTCCTCCACGCGTGCCTGAAGCTCACATTGACGAAACTCCCAACGACGTGAACGAGGGGCCTCCTGAAGATGAACATCAACCACAACCAGGAGCTCCTGCAGCTGACACGAGTGACCATCCTGAGAGCCGGCCCGAAGGGAGTCATGCCGCGCCGCCAACAATCATCTCCGGACAGAGCAATGCCACGCCCCTCAATCCGCTCACGTTGAAGCTGCTGCATTTCGTTCGGCGCGTGAATGGCGGAATGGGAATGGCCGAGGTTGACATCAACGGCCTGCTTCAGCTAGTCGTAGAGCCCGGCCTTGCGCCTCTTGTGATCTCGGAGCTCCGGAACTGTAAGGATCTGGAGCGGTTCGAGATGGAGCGTTTGGCAGGGCTCAATCGCGGATGGTCGGTGGTGACCTTCGAGATTGACGGTCATCCACCACAGCGCTTGCTCTTTCAGAACTCAGCCCAGGTAAGCCGACTTTGCATTCAAGGCCGTGAAATGATGATGAGGCACACAGGGTTTGCATGTACGTAGTTATCCTTGTATTAACCGTACACCCACCTTCACCGCCACTAACCATACCTCTCCACTCACCTGCCTTCGCCACCGTACACCAGGCATTCGCTGAAATGTTTGGACATCCCAACAACGCGCCCGGCTTCAAGCTCAAGGCGCGTGTTGATGAGGACCCTGACGCAGGCAGCCGTCGCTATACCACGCCTGGAACAGAAACGTGGTGGAACGATGCTCAGGTAAGGAAAGACCACGTTGCCACCCCAAACCCAATCCTTCCTCATGCCTCCATCGCTGCACTGATCTGACAAGAGCATCTTGAGCCCTAAACCGTGTGTCCGTTGCCGCTTTGTCGTGCACTGCAGGAACACTTCGGTTGGTCCGAAGTTGTGGGGGGGATCATCTTATATTCGGATGTGACGCACAAGAGCATCAACGGCCGGAAGAAGGCGTGGCCGCTCATGATGACGCTGGCCAACATCTCCCAGGCCAAGCGATGGGGGAAAGCCGGGCACACACTACTTGCCCTCCTTCCTATCCCCCCGTCTGCAATGTCTGCCGTGGAGAAGGTGATGCTCTTCCAGCGTTGCGTCATCACCGTGCTGCAGCCGCTTCTTGATGGCATCGCCAGGTCCGTACTCGGTTTGCATCTTGCTAAGACATCATCTCACCACCTGCATGGTATGCAAACCCTCTCTGTATGTAGCATGGCCCTTTGCCCCTCGTCGTTCCTCCCTAAAAGCCGTAACCCGAATTCCTGTTGCCCCTCTACCTGTTCCTTGCAGTGGGTTCCGTCTCAGGGACCCTTTCGGTGATTGGCAAACCGTGCGGCCCCTGCTGTACGCCTGGGTGTGCGACTACCCCGAGAGCGGCAAGATCAGTTGCACACTCTCGCATGGATCGCGGATGCCGTGCAGCATCTGCTATGCTGCAAAGGTGAGGTCACATGCCATCTGCACGCATTCAAATACAATCTCGTTTGTGGGTCGCTTGATAGAACCCACATAGCTACCACCCTTACCTTTTCTATCCCATCCCTCACCCCCGTGCTACAGTAGGAGCATCTGAGTGCTGTCAAGGCACGGAACACGCCGCGCACGCCTGAACAGCAACAATGGATCGTTAACGAGGCGGTTGGGACGACAACTAGCCAGGCTGACCCGTGCAAGGCCTACTCTACCTACCCTGTTGAGGTGAGTGACCTGTTTCCCCGGCCCATGAGTAGTCTATGCTCTCGCCCGCCCCGTCATGAATTGCCAGATGTGCTCTGCCCCATTGAACTCACCCCACTTGTGGTTTAGGTTAGCTATCCACTCTCACGTACATCTCTCCTCCATTCCCCACCACATCCCCATTTCCAGTGCGTGCTCTGGAAGTGGGATGTCCCAGGGACCGCGTGGGGCAATCCCTACCTCATGGTGATGCCTGACATCATGCACCAGGCGGACCTGGGCATCATGAGCCACATTGTGGCTGTCGTGCGCAAGATGAAGAAGCGGCGTGTGAAGGAGATGGACAGGTCAGTGTTTTGGGGATTGGATTCGTTGCTCTTTGTCACATTTACTCAAACCATAAGTTCTGTCCTATTACTGACATGTTTCTGCCCTTTTGCCACCGCTGAACTGATGTGTATGGGCAGGCGCCTGTCTCTCATTCGCGACCGCACGCACTTGAATCACATGCGCCTGCCGGAGAGCGCCTACTTCGAGACCGGAGCATGTGTGGTGGCCTATGAGCACAGGGCCGTCATGCAGGTATGAACCCTCCATTCCCTGTTGCTTGTCCTGGCCTAAACCCTCAAGCAGTCTG